TCCCTCCCTCCCTCCCTCCCTCCCTCCCTTCCTCCATCTTCCCTCCCTCCCTCCCTCCCTCCCTCCCTCCGTCCCTCCCTCCATCTTCCCTCCATCCATCCCTCTCTCCCTCCATCCCTCCCTCTGTCTTTCCCATCCTCTGTCTGTCCCTCCAGCCCTCCCTCCCTCTCCCTCCCTCCCTTCATCCAAATGGCATTAATTGGGCACCTCCGCTGCCCCCAGGCCTAGGTGCTCTTGGAGCCCTGGGGACAGAGCCGCAGAAGCCCAGGTCCCTGCGTCCTGGAAGTTGCCTTCCAGGGGTGGGGACAGTGAGCAAGTGTGTAAGTAAAGCAGATGGCGTGGCGGATGGCGGGGTTTGCTCAGGGACAAACCAGATGTGCGGGGAGAGTAATGGCACAGGTAGGGACGGCTCAGGCCCAGCCTGGAGGGGTGGGGGCGCCAGGCTCGCAGATGCCCGGCAGCAACCCGCGAGGCCTGAGCAGGGGGCGGAGTGGGGGAGGGGCATGGGGACGGTCACCAGGCTGCCGGGGCTCAGAGCCCCCCACGCGCTGCCGTCTTGCCACCTTCGAAATGTCCTCCCTGAGAGTCCCAACGGGACATTATGGAGAAGACGGAGTCCCGTGCTGCCTGCCCCCGCCGGTCCTGAGCCACCTGCTGGCGGGGAGACCGGGGGGGGCGGTGCTCCGTGGGGCTGGCGGCTGAGGGGGCCCGGGAGCCTGAGTCCAGAGATGCCGCCTGCCCTTGGCTTTTCGGCTGGAGCAGGGCCGTTTGTGGGACTGTGTGCGCATCCCCGTGAGGACAGGAGGACCGGCTCTCACAGGCGAGCCACCAAGGGACCGTGGACAGGGCGCTCTCTGCTCAGCAGCGTCCGTCCCTCTCCGGCACGCGTCACTTTACGGGGAAACTGATGAGCACCAGGCCACCCAGGATCGGGGTCTGAGACTCTGTCCTGCCCTCTCTGTGGCGCCGGCCCGGCTTGAGGGCACGGGGTGCAGGGGAGAAGACGCGCAGCTGCACGCACACACGCACGCACACACGCATGCACACACGCACGCCAGCAAGTAGCCAGGGCCGGCCCCGCGTCCACACTGGTAAAAGCCGGTGGCGCGAAGGAAGCAGATGTTTTATTAATATTCATATGCAAATATCTATTTGGCGCCAAAGGATAGCATCAGATAATTAAAGGAGGGAAACCACAGTGCGTTGTTAGAAGCAAACATCATCACCTCATCATAGTAAACCGGTTTATTAAACTCATTTTGAGACACACAAAGCGGTTCTGATTCTGGCAGCGAACAAATGAAGGATGGGGAGAGACGGCGCATCAGGTGGCCTTTTGCAACTCAGCTCTGCCTTGGGCTTTATCGCTTGAAACTGGAATAAAGTTGTGGGAGATGAATCGAGAGGCGGTGGGGATGCCGAGGCGGTGGGGACGCCGGGGCGGCGGTCCGCCCGTTGCTTCTGCGCGCTGCAGGCGAACGGCGCTTCCTAGCGGTCCAAGCTCTGCTTCCGAGAAAAACAAATGCGGTGCATCTGTTTTCTGTGGTCTGGAGAAGGCAAACCACCACCACCGAGAAAAAGGAGCCTAAATTCTATTAGGAGAGAAGCGAACGACGCCGGGTACATGATTTATATATTGAGCCGCAAGTTTGCTTGTCTGTGGAGGCTGTTGAAAATTTAATGGCTAATATTCTTAACTGTAGCAAAAATAAATTATGTATGAAAGGGGTTGCAATAATGATCCCCTTCGCCCCCGCCGCCAAGAGAGATGGAGGGAGGGAGAGGGCGGGCGGGAGGGGAGGAGGGGGTGTTGATGCCTCTGGAAAGGAAACCAGAGAGCGGCGGTAAACATCCGTCAGACTGCGGGGGGGAATATTGGATTTCTACAGGCCTGTGTGGAAATACAAAGCTCTGCGTATTGAATGTGCAGAGAAGTTGCCTCAGCCTGAAAAATCTGTAGAAGCACAGATACGGAGGGCAGGCCTTCCTCCTTTCTGTTTCTGAGCTCTCTCGCCGGGGCCACCACCCCGGGGCCACTGCCCAGGCGTGGCAGATGTCTCTAGCCAGTGACTGACCAGCAACTTCTTCTCTGATTCTAGGGCACACCTGGGAAGCCTGGACCCCGGGGGCAACGAGGCCCGACGGTAACGCCCCCTGGGCTTCCAGAGGCGGAGCACACTGCAGGGGGCGTGCTCCCCGGGAGGGGAGGGAGGTCTCTAGAGCTGGGGGTGTGTGAGCTCACCCTGCCTCTCTCCTGCCCTGCAGGGTCCGAGGGGTGAACGAGGCCCCCGGGGCATCACTGGGAAGCCTGGCCCCAAGGTAGGTGCTCAGTGCCCTCTGAGGCTCAGCCCACTGCCCGCACGCACCGTGGGGGACCCAGGGCCTCTGCATTGGGAAAAACAAAGAAAGTTTGCTGGAGGGTATTTAAGAAGGAGCTGGGCCAGCGGCCCTTGGGCAGGTCAGGTTGAGTGGAAGCAGGCGCCCAGGCCCGACACAGCTGTGGCAGGAAGGGCCGCCCCACACTGGGAGCTCCATGGCCGTTGGGGGGCAGCCCCCTGGGCTTTGCACAGATGCCAAACCATCTGGGTACCCCCCCATCCGGTTCTGGAGGGAAGGGGCTGTTTCTTCTTCCCGCCTCGGAGGGAGAGCCTGAGACGGTCTCACGCCCCCTCCTCCCGCCTGGGGGCACCGATGCCCCCGCCCCGGACTCCCCGCGTGAAAACGCGTGCCAGCCAAGCAGGCCCGCCCCGTCCGGCCGGGACGCCATTCCAGAGTGCGCCCCCACCGAGGGACGTGGGCCTTCTCGGCTGGGATGCAGAGCTGGCCCCCAGTCTAATGGGACATGCCCACCGGAGGCTATAGGACATTCTCCCGCGCTGAGCCCCGTACGGGGGCTTGTGGGGGCCCCGGGGCAGACGCCTGGGTCTTCTTGTCATGTGACTTTCCAACATGTTTCCCAGAGGGAGCACGGCCCTTGCCCCTGCGGCGGGCTCCTCTCCAGGAACCGTCACAGCCCTGTGGATAGCAGCTCGGGGTCTGATGTGTGTGCCCAGGGGACAGGACAGGGGCCTTTGGGAGCATGGATCGGTGGCTGGAGCACCCCTGCTCTTCGCTGGGAGTCCGGGGGACCCGCATGGGTGCCCGTGTGCCTTGTGTGACTCACGTCCCCGCGACATCACGGGCCAGAGTGCCCTGTGACATGCAGTAGTAACAGAGGGTGATGGTAAAACTGTCCTTGACCTCGTCCCTCCCTTCCCAGGGCAACTCTGGAGGCGATGGCCCGGCTGGCCCCCCGGGTGAACGGGTGAGCACCGGGAACAGCGCGGCTGCCTTACACGCCCCGCCCCGCCTCTTCCGGGGGTGGGCTGGGGAGAGGGGGCACCTCTCTGGTCCTGCTGAAGATGAGCGGGAGCTTTCAGGGGGCGTGAAGTCTCCTGCCTGTGGAAGTCGACAGCCCCCTCCCCTGGGCCCTCGGCCCCAAGCTGGGTTCCCCCCTGCCCCCCACCCCGCTCCCCGGACTGACCTCCTATATCGCGTTGCAGAGGGAGGGGCTGGAATGAGTGGAGGAAGGATCGGGGGGACCACAAAGAGATTTTGCTTTAAGAACCAACAACTTGAGAGGAGGGTGGTGGGTCCCCCGGGCCCCGTGCACGGGAACACGACACCTGTGCTCAGCGGGCCGTTCTCTGTCCCCAGGGCCCCAATGGACCCCAAGGACCCACTGGTTTCCCTGGACCCAAGGGCCCCCCGGTAAGTAACGTGTCTCCCTTGCTGGGCCGGAGGCAGGGGTGTCGGCGGGGAAACTGGAGGGACCCGCTGTTCGGAAGTGCGGGCTTGTCCCTCATCCAGAGGAGGAACACGATCTTCTGGTTGGGTCCGGGTTGAGTGACCCAGGCCACCGTTCCCAGTTACCACCCACCTGGTCACTTAGAGCAGCAGAAACGTGCTCTCTCACAGTCTGGAGGCCGACAGGCCCAGGTGGAGGGGTGAGCAGGGCTGTTCCCCGGGGCTCTGGGAGCACCCCCCGCCCCCGTTCCTGCCCCCACCCACACCTGCTCCCGCCCCCACCCCACCCCCGCCCACTCCCAGCTTCCTGTGGTTGCTGGTCAGCTGGGGCCTGTACGCCCGTCACTCGCCACTCGGTCTCTGCCTCCATCCTCATGTGGCTGCTGCCTCTGGGGGTGGGGGTGGGGGCTCGGGGTCTTCAGACTCTGTCTTCTTACGAGGACACCAGTCACTGGCTTCGCCCCCCCCACCCCCAGTGCAGTGTGACCTTGTCTTGAGTTGATGACCTCTCCAAAGCCCCCATTTCTAAATGGGGTCGCCTTCACTGGTGCGGGGGGCGGGGACCGGGGTCGCCTGCCCTGGTGCGGGGGGGGCGGGGACTTCCACCCGTATTTTGGGGTTACAGTGCCCCCTAGAAGGAAAGGTGTCTAATGGTAGGCACTGCTGCCGGACGGACGCGCTGGAGGTCAGCGATCAGGAGGAGGCGGACCCGGGTCCCCATGCCGCCCGCACCTCCCACAGCCGCACCTCTCCCGGCCTCAGTGTCTCCCCTGGGGGGTGAAGTGTGGCGCTCAGGAAGGCTCTGTGGGTTCGGGAGGTGACGCACAGGTGCTGGGTCCCCACACAGCACTTTGTCACTGTGACCCTTGCAGGGACTTTCTCTGACACGAAGTGGTGTTTCTTGTCCCCTGGTTTGGCATGAAACCCCGAAGGTACATGGGTCTCAGAACTGAATGGGACTCCTCTTTGCCTCTTTCTCCAGGGCCCCCCAGGCAAGGACGGGCTCCCAGGGCACCCTGGACAGAGAGGAGAGACCGTGAGTAGTACTGGCAGTGTGGGGGACATGGGGACACGGGGACGCAGGCCAGCCTGGCCTCTCCCACAGCCCCGCGGGCTTGGGAGAGGGCAGCCAGCTTCGGGAGGGCCCCCGAGCTCCGGGCGGTCTCCCGCTGCCTCGGGGCCAGCCCGTCTGCGGACGGCCCGCGTGGGCCAGCAGCGTCCGGGTGGCTCTGGTCAGAAGGCGGGTCCCGGTCCCCACCGTGTCCTGGCAGCTTGCAGCTTTGGCCCAGGGTCCCGTTTAAAACCGTTGTGGCAGCAGAAGGCCAGCGCACGCTGAGCCGTGAGCCACCAGCCCCCTCTTACTCAGTAATAGCCTCAGTCATGAGCCTGCCCAGGGCAGCCCGGGTCATTATGTCTGGAGGCTGAGCACTCAGCGTGTTCAGCAGGAAGAAAGAGCATTTTTCAGAAATAACATCACTCCGTGGCCCTGTGGGCCGGCACGCCGCGCCCAGGCGTGTTCTTGGGACAGCGTGGGCACATCTGTGACCTTGAGGCCCCAGGCTCGGACGGGTGGGGACCTCCTGGTCACCAGAGAGACGGTGCAGGTAGCCGGGAGGGCCCCTTCGTCTCCACGGCCGGCTTTCTCTGCGATCACAGGCCTCTGACGGGTGTCACACGAGGCTTTGAACGCCGCAGCTAACCCCCCCTCCATGCCTGCGCTACAAACAGTCCCTTTGTCTCCTGGCTCATTGTGATGAGGCTTCTTTTAACGACCCCTTCCCCGGCGTGCTGTGTGGCGCCCGCTGGCTGATGAGTGCACATCACCTCGCTCCTGTTTATAGAGACAAATTAAAACATCTCGTCTGAGCTTCTGCCTGTGTTTCTTGCCACTGTCCTGAGGAGACAGGATAGAAGGCTTTGCCAACTGTGTGCCTTGCTGCCTCTCACTGAGCCCGAGCAGAGGCTGGTGGAATAATGAAGCGGCGCGTCTTTGCTGGGAAAGGAATGTGGGGGCTTCCCGCCACCTGGGCCGCGCCTGGCCGCCCTCCCGGACAAGGGCGCCTGGTCTCCAGACCCGGCCAGGATGCAGGTCTCCAGCACGGGGCGTCCTGCAGGGTTGGCTTTGCTCTTTAGAAAACCGATGTAACAAGAGGGCGTGGCTTCTAAGTGTGAACCCCAAGCACGTTTCTCCTGGGGGGTGCTCAGACCAGCTGAGGATGGTCCCGCCCTTGGGGCAAACAGAGAGGCCTTTCCTGCCGTCTGCACGGGCTCCTGCCTCCGCTTGGCACTTCTCCCGTGGCCCCCCAAGCCAGGGTGCCCTTGACCTGCCCACCGCCCCTTGTTTCTGACCCTATAAATGCTGCCTGCAAGGGCCTGCTTTAAGAATGACCACTTCCGGGGCGCCTGGGGGCTCAGTCGGTTAAGTATCTGACTCTGGATCTCGGCTCAGCTCAGGATCTCACCGGCCCTGAGTTCTAGCCACTTGTCGGGCTCTGTGCTGACATGGCAGTATCTGCTTGGGATTCTCTCTCTCTCTCTCTCTCTCTCTCTCTCTCTCTCTCTCTGGTCTTCACTTGCACACACGCACGTACACATACGCACACTCTCTCTCTCTCACAAAATAAATAAATCCAAAAAACATCCGTGCATTGCATGCCTCTCCCCTTAGGCCCCGAGAGAAGAGTCCTCTGAGATTTGCAGATGTTGAATCCGCTGTAGGCGCTGCAGGGTCCAGTGGCCAAGCATGAAGTCTCAAATGCTGGCCCCGCGGCTGTCACAACAGGGAGGCCCGGAGCCGCCCTGCTCATCAGCCACACGGGCCGGCCTCCTCGCCCTCCAGGTCTCCCTGTGGCTTAAGATTCCCCCTCTCCAGATCCTAGAGCTCCCGCTAACAGTCCCCGGGGGTCACACCTGTGTGTCTCTGCCAACATCTCACGGCATCTGCAGGCGACATCTTGATGGCATGGGCTGAGCTCTTAGATGAGCCCAGAAATGAAGCGTCCGTGCTTTGCAGCCAGCTTTCTCCTTGAAGGAAGCACGTGTCGCAGAGCCACTGCCTAGAGCGAAGGCAGGGCTGTTGCACATGAGCCGTGTGCAGGCAGGAGTGAGAAACCTCCGCTGAACCGAGCTGCCCGATTACGAAGGCAGCGAAAACCCCATTGTTTCCCTGTTTCCACACATGCCAAGCAGCGGGCGAGGTCACCCGTCACACAGGAGAGGCGTTAGCAACACACGTGGGGCCATTCCACACAGTCACTACTGAGAAACGGCCCCGAGGCAGCTCCCGCGTCGAGCTTCCGGAGGCTGAGAAGTGGCACTGAGTCTGCTGGGAAAATGCACACTTAGTGACGTTACAAAGATTAACGGTCTTAAAATCTGTTCCTCAACCCAGAAACACGGCGGTGGAAAAGCCGCGAGTGAAGCTCACTTGTGTGGCTTCTTTATCTTCATGAGACTCATGCACAAACGAAAGAGGGGAGGGGCCCTCTCCAGTGCAATGGAGAACATTCGCCTTCAGGGGAAGGGGTGGGAGCGCGAGCCTCCTGGTGAGACCCGCTCGCCATCTCGGCGTGTGACTCTCTCCCCACAGGGTTTCCAAGGCAAGACCGGCCCCCCCGGGCCCCCGGGCGTCGTGGGCCCACAGGTGAGCAGAAGCAGCCCCGCTTTCATCGGCCATCTGTGCGGCGCCCATGCGGGAGGGAGGTGCCCCCAGGTCGGGAAGGTGTTGGTGCTGCTGGCGGAGAAGCCCGAGTCCCACAGCTTGTTAACATTTGGGGACGGGCTTTGCCCGGGAGCCAGACTTGAGAACAGGGGACGGTCTGCTGAACAATCAGCGTGAAGCGAGCCTGCAGAACAGAGGCGGCTGGCGGGCGGTCGGGGCCTGGCCGGTTGGTGCCAGCTCCTCCCTTCCCCCCGAGGCTCTGGCAGCTGGGCCCCCCCCCCCCACCGGCTCTGGCTAGTGCCGCTGGCAGGTCACTGCAGAGTGGCCTGAGCCAGGACTGATGGCCTAGAGCAGCGAAACGGGCAGTGGGTGCCCACCTAATGCAGCAGCAAGATATTGACCCGCTGCAGCCGCGGACTGCAGGAATGTGGGCATGCTGCCTGCATCTTGTGTGGCCATCGGGCTGCCCTCACTGCACACGGCCGCCCTGTCTGCCCCGTTCTCTTCCTTCTGGATTTTTGCTGGAAGGTGGAGACTGGCAGAGCGGTGTGGGGTTGGGAGGGCCCTCCGCCTCTGCGCCCAGGGCCATCCTTAGTTTGGGAAAACAAGGTTACTACTCCCTGGAGCGTCTCTGGAAAATGTCCATGGCTAATGTAGACTTTCCCCGCAGGGTCCCACAGGAGAAACGGGTCCAATGGGCGAGCGTGGCCACCCTGGGCCCCCAGGCCCCCCCGGTGAGCAGGGGCTCCCCGGCCTTGCCGGGAAAGAAGGGACGAAGGTGAGTTAGTCGGGCCTCCCTTGCAGGCCCGGACCTCCCTCAGGGACCTCTGTGTTCTCCGGCTCTTTCCCGATGAATGAGTAGTGTCTCAGACACACGCTCGTCACGCCGTCGTCGGCTCCCCACACAGATGATCACTTTTGCCTGGGCTGAAGGAGGCTCTGAGCTGGGGGGGAGGGGGGGGGATGCCAGCCGGGGGCTGGGGGGTCAAACCGTCCTTGGCCTTCTGCCCCGGGGCCGTTCCTGGCTGACCTCCCCTTCCCCTGGCTTCCACACTGGCTCCCAGCAGCCCTTAACCCACCCTGATGCTTCATGTCGGAAACTAATTTAGCAGAAGGCGACCATGAAAGGGTTTCTCACTGTAAGAGGCCAAAGAATAAATAATGAAGACGGAAAGCGGGATGTGTTCCCAGCCGGCCTCTTAGCGTGGGTCCTGAACCTCCTCTTAGTTCCTCAGGAAGCCTCCCTCACAGCCGGGGGCCCCTAGTTGCTGGTCCTAATTCCTGGGTACCAGCTTGAAAATGGCAAGTTTCTCCTCACCCAGCTTTTCAGTGAGGAACTCAGCAGGCCCAGGCGCTCATGTGAGCGCACGTGCGAGAGGAAGTCTGAAAATAACGGAGAGCCTGTAAAGCGTTATTGAAAGAATTACACACATCTGTGCTGGGGTACACATGTGTGCACCTAAAACCACACGTACGTGTGTGTGACGTGTGTAGACACACACGTAGATGTAGATGGGCACGTATCCCCTCCCCAGGAGGGCTGAGTTTGGAAAGGAGGCCAAGGGCGTGCTGGTTTGGAGATGCCCTCTGCTCCCATGTTGGGCCCGGAGAAAATTCCAGAAGATCCGTCAAAGCTTTCATGTGCTCCAGGGAAAATGCTCAGGCAGTCTGTCTTTTCAGGAAATGTGGTTCTGGGCTCGGAGCAAGTATCTTGGGTGATAACGGGTCTATTTTGGATGATGTGGCCAATGGCCTGGCCACAGGCCCCTTTACCTGAGAACGACTTATGAGGAGTCCCGAATACATGGAAAGGGTCAACGTGGGGGCAGAGTAGCCACCTGGCCCTCAGCTCCCACTCAGCCCACCGTGGCCCCAGAGGGATGGGGTCTGTCCCCAAATCGCACACGAGCCGGCCTGCAGAATGCGCCTCCAGGGCGTGAGCAGGGGCTGTGGTCCTGTGCCCAGCTGCCCATGGGCAATTCCGGGCACGACTCCGCGGCTCCTCCTGGAGCTGGTGTCCGGGGCGGCCCCCCTCCTGCCCGAGTCCGGTGGATCCTGGAGAGGAAGCCCCGACCCCCCTGCACCCCGTCCTGGGTGGCACTCAGAAACTAATCTATGGCTCTGATTTCAGGGCGACCCGGGCCCCGCCGGCCTCCCTGGGAAAGACGGCCCTCCTGGATTACGCGGCTTCCCTGGGGATCGCGGGCTTCCCGGCCCAGTGGTGAGTGAGAGGCCAGGCGGGGGATGGAGCTGGACGCCGCCCAGCCCGGTGCCCTCGCCCCTTGGTGTCCCCAACACGTTCCTGTTGCTTTGCAGGGTGCACTCGGACTGAAAGGCAGCGAAGGCCCCCCTGGCCCGCCGGGCCCCGCGGTGAGTGCTGCCGGCGACACACACGTTTCATCTGGCCTCTTGCTGGCAGTCTCGTGCGCAGGCAGACAGGGCGGCCCCCAGGGCCAGGAGAGCGTGCCCGCCGGCCTCGGCCCGCTGTGGGGCCTCGGGAGGCCACGTGGAAGAGGCGGACAGCGGGCCCCTAGCTGGCAGCTGGGGTGACCACGAGCCAGGGGCCCGCTGCGTGAGGACAGGCAGAGAACTGTGCGGTGTGCAGGGAGGGCCGTGCGGCTCTGTCCCGCCCTCGAGGAGCAAGGCACTTGCCCACGTGCCCGGCGTGGGTCTGGGCCTGGGGCTGTGGGAGCGGAGAGGAAGGGGCACAGGCCCCCTGTGTGGGAGCACAGGCTGCCCACGCACAGGCGAGGCAGCACAGGGGCCGTCTGTGACCGGAATGGCCCCTCCAGCGTTCCGAGTCTGGTCCGCACCATCGCAGGGAAGCCAGGCGGAAATGAAAATGGTGCCTTTCTTTCTGATAAAGGCCGGTGCAGAACGACGCCGGGCGACAGTGGCCTGCCGGTGCTGACCCGAGAATTAGTCCAGGTTCCCACCCATCAGTGGTGCCCGGGGACAGAGCATCCTCTATAGAACATGTGACATGGGGGCGGGGGAGCCCTTTGTGGGCAGGCAGAGCCAGCGGGGAGAGGATGGGGGCCCAGGGCAAGGGGGGCACGCCAGGCAAGCACTTAAGGAGGCTGTGTTCTCAGACCCCGGGGGAGAGAGGCAGGCACCTGCTTGGAATTATGGGCAGGGAGGAGCCAGGAGGGGACCAGAAACCCAGAGCCTCGAACGCTGGTCTAAAGAGCATGTGCTGCTGAGAGCCCTGGGAGCTACTGAGGGCTCTGGAGCGGTAAGACTTCGTGGCACTTCGGAAAATCGTATCCATGCATTTGAGAGCCTTGGGAACAAACCATTTTCTCGTTCGTGCCAGGGATCCCCGGGGGAGAGAGGCCCTGCCGGCGCTGCCGGGCCCATCGGAATCCCAGGAAGACCCGGGCCCCAAGGACCTCCAGGGCCGGCTGGGGAGAAAGGAGCTCCTGTAAGTACCGCCTCGGGGGAGCGGGTCCCCTACCCGTCAAGCCTCACCCCTGCCCCAGGGGCTTGTGGGAACAGGGAGGAGGGTGGCGTGCTTGCTGGTCCCCCAGGAAACTGAGTGTGTCCCCAGTGTCCTGACTGAGGTCCAAGGATGGGTTCCCAGTGGCTTCTTTCAGGGAGTGACCTGAGCTAGGGGGGTGCCGGGGAGCTCACCTGTGCAGCTGTTTCCCAGCACATGCACACGGAGGGGCTGGGGACAGTGCGGCCTTAGCCTCTGCCGGGCTCCATGTGTGGCCGGGTCACAGTCGCCCAAGTGAGAGAAGGATGTGGGGGGTGGGGGCCTCCTCTGCTGGTCTGGGGCCGGAGGCGTGTGCTGAGAAGAGAGGCTTCTCCCTGGACCCCGACAGCCGGCCATCAGTGACCCTGAGTGTGGCCCCGCCCGGCGTGGAGGCCTCAAGAGACCTCCTGCCCCAGCCTTGTTTCCATTTGGGAGATTAATGGGCCCCGGGAAGCCGAAGGCCGCTCTCTGCCAAGCGCCTTTCCCAGAATAACCACAAAACACCCCTTGCCGCCCTGATGCGCTCCTGTGCCGACCGTATTTGGCTTCCACCACACGGCTTTGCAAACCCCCAGCACCCCGCGTTCAAACAGCCCCAGAGACCAGCGTCAACTCAAACTTCCCTTTGGAATTGAGGCGTCAGAATGAGTGAGCTTCTGGGGGGAAGGAGCAAACGCGCTCACGGGCCATCCCGGCAGTTAGGACGCCCATGCCGAGGGATGCCTGTTAGAAAGATCTAGTCTTCCTTGTGCGATCTGCGCTTGGCAGTTCGTGGGTAGAAAGGGCCCCCTGCTGACCCCACGCTGGGAAACCCCGTTCCATGTGGCATTGGCGGTTCCGATGCCGTTTTGTTTCCACTGAGGCCCTCGGACATCGACTCGGCCGAACTCAGTGCCAGAAACCCGCCTTCTGAGGTGCTTTCGATGCATACAGAGCGCACAGGTCTGGCTGGAAACGGTTGGGTTCGTTGCTTCAAGAGAGGAAGTACTTGAGCAGAACTCTTTCGCGGGTTCGTTGCTTCAAGAGAGGAAGTACTTGAGCAGAACTCTTTCGCGGATGCAAAGCTTATCTTTCTCCCCAAACAGCCCCAGGGGGAGGCGGCCAGGCGTCCCCCAGCACTGCCCACTGACCAGTCATGTCAGACGGAAGATTCCAGGCAAACCAGTCAGCCTGGGCCTTTTCTGGCTCAGTTAGGGTTGAAATCTATACCGGCAGGAATGAAACTGAGGGGCAGGGAGTGAGCTGTGCAGGCAGGAGAGGGTGGGACGGGACAGTGGCACCGAGTAGGCGCTGGCCACCCGTAGATCTGGACACTGAGCACACATTTCCCGTGCCCCCTCCCCAACCCACTCCCCTGTGCTGCATCCACGGAGTGACACGGCGACCCAAGCGAAGCAAGGGCTTAGTGAGGACGTTTGAGATCACCAGGGGCAATTACGAGGGAAATGAATCAAAATTACGAGGAAAGAGAGATGGGAGCGTGCACGCGTGCCTGTTTGGCGGGGGGAGGTGTTGGCAGAGAGTTAAAATGGTAAGAACGTTGGCGGCGGCCAGAGCTCAGGCCCTCCCGGCCGCTAGCATTGGCGAGCCCGCACACAGGCTCAGGAAGCTGGCTGGCTGGGTTTGAATCCGGGCCGCACGGCTCACAAACTGTGCCTCGGTTTCTCCATCTGTAAAAGAGGAGCCCTTCCTAGGAAACGCAGGGGTGTGCGGGAAGTGGGTGGCAGGGGCTGGGCTTAGAGGGGCCCTCAGTGTAGCTGGCTGAAATCCGTGAGGACCAGCAGGGTCAGGGCCCAGGATGCCTGCTCCCAGCCCCGGGGCCTGTCCTCTCCGGAGTGATGAGCCGGTGACAGGGTGTCCCCACGACGGAGCTGTGTTTGATGGGGGGTCTCCTCTCCTCTGCAGGGTGAGAAAGGTCCCCAAGGCCCTGCTGGCCGAGATGGCCTCCAGGGTCCTGTGGGGCTCCCCGGACCAGCCGGCCCCGTAGGCCCCCCCGGAGAAGATGGAGACAAGGTAAGAAGAATGAGGGCAAGTGTCCCTGCCCGGGGATGCCGCGCAGCCCGGACCGCCATGCGGGCGCAGCGTGACCCCTGTCCGCCCTGCTAGCTCAGCATCGGTGCGGGACTTTGGGAAAGCTGGAGAACAGCGCGGTGATCCGTGGGGTCGCTGGCGTGCTCGGGGGTGGGGTGGGGGCTTCGAAAGTGCTTTCCTCCCGTGGGTTCTGCCATTGCCGGAACGTTCTCGGCCAGCAGCCTGAGCGAGGAGATCTCCCCGCTCCCCAATGCATCGCGTCGGATCCGAACGTGCCAAGCCCAACATAACGAGATTTTCCTCAGTGTCTATTTTTAAACGCATTCACTTGAATTATCAAGGCTCCCTTTCATTAAGCGTGTGGTTGATGATTCTGCTGCTATTACTGCCGGAGCCTATATTTTATTCCTCGTTTAATGAAGACAGTGAAATTTCGCTCTTTGGTTTAACTTCCCATTTGTGATAATTCTCGGGTGACATTTCCGACTTTGTCACCTGTGCGCAGACGATTCCCCTCAGCGAGGAGGGCAGCTCTGTACCACCGAGACGCTGGGCGCTCTCGTGACCCCTCCGGAGCTCAGTAGCCGCCCTCTGTTTTTCCACCACTGCACCTCCCGATTTGACAGACGAAGTAAATATTTCCACCATGATTCTCATTGCATTTTAAAATCCGCTAAGATCCTGTGCCGCGTGAGATCAAGGCCACATCCCGTTCGGTTCTGTATTAGAAGGGAAGGCAACTTGATCTGTGGAAACGTGTCTTCCTTGGAAAGTGTCAGCACCCCCCACCATCCTGGGGAGGAGACTTTTCATCTCCAGGGAAAATTCACTGTGGGTAGCGGATACCACGCAGACGGCCCTGGCTAACGCTCTTCCCCGTATTCCGCAGGGAGAGGTCGGGGAGCCTGGACAGAAGGGGAGCAAGGGGGACAAAGGAGAGCAGGTACGGGGGCCCCGCGCCCGCCCCCCTGTGTCCACACGGCCTCTGGGCTCTCCCTTCCTGCTGCAGCTCGCGTGTGGGTGACGTGTGTGCACACGTGTGCACGCGGGCGTGTGTGCATGTGTGCGCACGTGCGCGTACATACCTGAGCGAATCCCTTGTTAACAGATGAGGAGGAAGCGCTCGCAGGTTTGGGGAAATGGGGCCAGTGGAGCATTGGGCGGTGAGGTTTTCGGCTCCGCAGGCCTGGCTCTTGGCCGCCCCTCAGGGCCCCGGGCACCCTGACCGCTGCCTCTTCACTTTGCCCTTTTTTCTTTGCTCAGTCTGCTTGGGGCCCTAGTGTGTTCTTTGAAAAGCCCTGTCACCGGGGGCCAGCTCCTTCCTGGTGGTGGTGACATGCGTCCATTCTCTCGCGCAGCCGGGCGGTCAATGCCGTGTGCCCCTAGGGCCGCCCCCCGGCGCCGCCCGGCTCCCCTTGCCTTCCTGTCTCACTCGCTCCCTGGGCCAAGGTGGGCTGTGTTTGGGGACGCGCAGGCGCCTGCGACGCTGCCAGCCTCACGCTCTGGCCCGGGTCCTCGCCCTGCGTGGGTGGTGGTGTGGCGGCCAGCCTTGTTTCTAATGCAGGGCCTCCTGGGCCGTGTCCTGGGCGTGTGGCGGGAGCTCAGAGGTTGCGCAGTGGCCGCCAGCACCGCCCATGATGATGCGCCCGTGCGGTGGGGCTGGGGTTCCTTCCCCTGATGGCCACACGTGGGCACCGAGCTGATGGCCTCAGGCCACGGTCCCTGCACCCACAGGCCCTCTCCCTTGGCCTCCGCTCTGACCCAGGCAACCGTGTCTCTGTTTCCCCCCCAGGGTCCGCCTGGGCCCACCGGTCCTCAGGGCCCCATCGGACAGCCGGGCCCCTCCGTGAGTATCTGTGCTGGAGGACCCTCGGAGCACCCCGGACCCCTCCAGCCCGCGGGGTGCTGGTGACGGCTCCTCACCCCCGGCTCCATTATCCCCGCAGGGAGCCGACGGCGAGCCAGGCCCTCGTGGCCAGCAGGGCCTTTTCGGGCAGAAAGGTGACGAAGGCCCACGAGGTTTTCCTGGGCCCCCCGGGCCAGTGGGGCTGCAGGTAACGAACCTCAGGGTTTGTGCAAGGGCCGTGGCCTCCTTCCGGGGCGTCCTCATCTTTGCTGTGCCCGCCCCTCCCCACCCTTCTCCTCCCTCCTCCATTTCCCCTTCCCTACCCGCTCCCTCCCCACTCTTACCCCCTCCTGTCTCCGCCCTCCCTCCTCCCCTGTCCTGCCTCCTCCATTCTCTCCTCCCCTCCCCCCTCCCCGTTCCCCTCTCCTCTCCCCTCCCCTCCTCTCTATTCTTCCCTCCCCCTCCCCTCTCCTGACATTTTAAGAATGGGGAACCTAAGACCAGGCTTTGTGGGCCTCCGGGGCTTCCTCATTAATTGGAAGCACTGCAGATTCCCATGGCTGCAGACGTGGCCATATTTGCTTCTCTTGACCGGTGGTGTGTATTTCCACGCTCACCGCAGAGATGCTGGAAACGACGGACCCGCGGTAAGAATTGTGAGAGAAAACAGTGCCTTCCAAACCTACTGCCAGGACCGATGGCTATAAACGCCCAGGCACATTTTATCTCCGTACCTTTACGTGTGTGAATTCACATGCACGTATGCACACATGTGATTTCCTTCAGCTTTGCACAACCGGAGTTGTGCCAAGCGTACGGAAAGTTTGTGCGCGGCTCCTCACATTTCGTTTTACGAGTCGTGTTCAATCTTACTAAATATTCTTTGGACGTGTCCCTTTTTATTTATTTTGAAAACATGATTTTTAGTCACTGCATAGTATGCCAGCATATGGTGGTGGCGTGATTTATGCCGACATTTCCCTGCTGTTGGCTCATTAGGTTTTACTGTTTAATGGGACAGTGCGGCAGGCGCCTTGGTCCATAAATCTCCAAGTTCTCTCTAACGATTTCCTGCGGCTCTGAGACCTGGCATCGTGGGGCTGGCCCCGCGTTTGGCTGGAGGCCCTTGGAGGCCTGCTTGGCGCCGTGGGGGAGACCGTGAAAGCTCCGTGGGTATCGGGGTGGCGCAGCGCTGACCTGTAAGCTTCTGCCGCGTTCCTGTCCCCAGGGTCTGCCGGGACCTCCCGGAGAGAAGGGCGAGACGGGGGACGTGGGTCAGATGGTAAGTGTGACCGGGACACGCCCACCGGGCCATGCGCGGCGGCTCGCTTCCGCTTTGGTTACAGTTTGCATTTTGTCTGTACTCAGTGGTTCTCCTTCCCCTTAGGGCCCCCCTGGGCCCCCCGGCCCCCGAGGACCCTCCGGGGCTCCAGGCGCTGACGGGCCACAAGGACCTCCGGGCGGGATAGGCAATCCCGGCGCCGTGGGAGAGAAGGTGACTCACGCCCCTTCCTGTGCTAGCGGCTGACGTGCGAGTGCGTGCGGGAGCCCAGGGGTGTGTGCCTGTGAGCGTGTGTCCAGCTGCGGGTACAGGCATGTGCGGGGCTGTTCCTGTCGAGTGCACTTAGCAGATCTGTGCCGGGGAGGCAGGGGCCCCGACCCCTGTTCCCGGGGGCCTTCGGCAGCGCCCAGGCGCTACCGCCAGCAGGAAGGCCCAGCGCCCTCCCCGGTCCAGCCCTGACGGGGCGGGGCGTCTGCGCTCACCGTCCTTCTTCGGCCTGTCCTCCCGCGGCCTGGGGTCCTCGCCTGATCTGATTAGTTCCAGGGCGAGGGCGCCGGGGGTCCGAGTACAGCCAGCAGGACTGCACTGAAGTGCCCGTGACCTTGCTCTGCTTCCAGAGCACTTACGCTACTTCCTTGGGATAAAAGGAACAAAACCAACGTGCTCCATTCATTTGCATTCCCTCTACACCGTTTCCAGAACTTTCTGACATCAGCCCCTTAAACTGAAAGAAGTCCTCCATCACTGCCCGTTTTTTACGATACGAAACTTACAGAGAAACATCTCCTGCTAAGACCACAAATTAGTGTTAATTTGTGGCCCGGAGCGGCTGCCCCTCTGCGCGTGGTGCTGGGTCCTCCCTGCCTCAGCCGGCTCTTCCCTCCTGCGCTGTCCCCCACCCCTTCCACGGCCTTCTCTTCGTCGTCCCCCAGGACTCACCGTGGCGCCGTCTGTGACACCCCGTGTGCTCTGGTCACCTCCTCTGTGTGACCATCACCGCCCATGCCGGCATGAGCACACGCCCTGACACAGACAGGCCTGCCCTCCAACCCCGCGCGCTGTCAGAGTGCACTGGCTGCGCCCTCGCCCTGGCCCCACGCCTGCTCGACGGCAGTGAGATCTGCTAAGTGCTCCGAGCCGGGGCCACTGTAACCATGTCGCGTTTCCTCCTTAGGGGGAGCCTGGCGAAGCTGGAGAGCCTGGCCTGCCCGGAGAGGGGGGCCCTCCGGTGAGTGGGCTGGGGGTCCCCCCGCCATGGACTTCTGCTGGATGGGAAGCCCCCAGTCTGCCCCCGTTTTCCCGTCCATGAGATGGGAGCCATGTCTCCCCTTATCCTTACCTCAGTGGGGTTACTGTACCACGTGGGTGCATGATGGGGCGTGAGCACACGTGTGCAAGTGTGCCTGTGTGTGTGAATGTGCATGTGCCTATGTGTGCGAGTGTGCCTGTGTGTGCGAGCGTGCCTTGTGTGCAAGCGTGCCTGTGTGTGTGCATGCATGCCTGTGTGTGCACACGTATGCCTGTGTGTGCAAATGTGCCTGTGTGTGCACGTGCGTGCGTGTGGAGGTGTTCACGGTGAACGCCCGCGAGCAAAGGCCATAAGTCACCCTCGTCTGTTCCAGACCGGCTCGTGTGCTGCCACAAACATGGGGCAGTTGTCCCCTCGTCAGCCTGGACCTGGAACATTCTGACCTTCGCGGGTCAGACGGCCTGTGGGAGGCCGCACCAGGGAGGGGGAGGGGGGCCTGCGCCCCTGCGGCACCTCCCACCTGGGAGCCAAGGGTCCCCTCTGGAATGCCAGGGGGGGCCAGACCGTTGCCGGGAGCTGCTGCGGGCGGGGAGTGCGAGCAGCTGCCGGGACCCACTGGGCCCAGCGGGTCAGGCCTCCCGGCCCCGAGCCCCCCGCTTTCCCGTGCGTGCACGGGGGCGCCGGAGGCCAGCATGGCGCTCCGGGAACCGAGGCCGCTCAGAGGCCACCGACACTGGCCTTTCCCCACAGGGACCCAAAGGAGAAAGGGGCGAGAAGGGCGAGTCGGGGCCTTCCGGTGCAGCTGGGCCCCCTGGACCCAAAGGCCCTCCTGGGGACGACGGTCCCAAAGGCAGCCCCGTGAGTAACTCGGAGACGCGGGTGCCCGGGGCTGGTGGGCTCTGTGCGGGCCGTTCTCACCCTCTGCTGGCGCTCTGAGCCCCTGGCCGCTGTGGGTCTGAGGGTAACATTCCTAACGCTCGGAGGTTTCACACAGCTGCTGAGGCAGGGCTGTGGAGGTGAAGGAGAGGAGGTGCGGTGCGTAGGGGTCTCGTGTGCCGTGCCTGGGCAGCGTGCTAATGGGGCTGCCGGAACCGTCCTGTGGCCCGTCCTGCTTTGCCTCCGAAGGGGCTTCTGCTGGCACGTTCTAGAAGCCCGAGGTCTGGGCTTGCTCTCAGCCCGGAGCTCCGGGAGCGGAATCACAGGCGCATCCGCCCTCCTCCGCGTGCCCTGAGAGCAGAGCACCGAGCCCGCCGTGCCCGCGCAGGGGGGAGGCTGGGACGAGGTAGTCCCCAGGGGCTTCCGGGCCGTGGGCGCACTCCTGCCGTCACAGGGAGGGCATTGCAGGGGTGGGTGAGGCGGGGCTCTTGGGGACGTGGTGGCGGCTCCCGGGTTGCTCAGGGCCCCGACACGCCTCTCTGTCTGTTTCAGGGCCCTGTGGGCTTTCCTGGAGACCCTGGCCCCCCCGGAGAGCCTGGCCCCGCGGTAGGTGTTCAAGGCCGCGGAGCCCCTCCCCCCGCCAGCCGTCCGCTGCCCTTACCGGCCGGTGTTTCCTTCCTGGCTGTCTTCTCCGAGTCCTCCTGGGCGCGGTGCTCTCCCATGTGGCCTCCAGATGGTGGTGCTTTCGTGTCCCCGCCTGGCCGCCCGGAGAGAGCTGGGTTCTCGGGAAGGGACTGGGGACGCCGTGGGCATTGGCGCGTGACTCAGGAGACAGGAGGAACCTGCTTTCATCCCCTCAGGGTCAAGACGGGCCGCCTGGTGACAAAGGGGACGACGGTGAGGCTGGGCAAACGGTGAGTCCGCCCGTGGCCTCCAGGGACCCCGGCTGCCCGGTGGACGGTGTCGGGTGTCCTTGGGGTTCGCCCTGTTCCTCTCTGAGAAAAGCCGGAGCCCAGGTCCCTCGGGAGCCACTCTCCCGGGTGACAGGTCGCCGTGAGCTCCCTGCAGGGCTCCAGTGGAAGCTGGGGGCAGCCGTGCGGTGATCAGTCACTCGTCCCCGGGGAGCCCCTGCCCGCCCCGGGCCCCCCCGTGAACGTCAGGGCGCCTTCCCTGCCTGGTCGGTGCCTCTCCTCCCAAGGGCTCAGCCCCTCGGGCCGCGATCACACTCGACTTGCCTCTTACCCCCGACACTGAGTTTCTGAAACATTGCTTCCGGCCCAGGTGCCCGGTTTGGACCTGACCCCAGTGGGCCTCCCCTGGGTGGGCCTCCCCTTCCTCGGGGACGGCCCCAGGGTCCTCACCCATCTCCCTCACCCCCACCGCCCCCACCGGGCAGGTTGCTGCCAGGCCTCCCGGCCCTCGGGTGCAGGCGGGCAGCGCCGCGTTGAGATTAGCGCCAAGCCAAGTCCCCGAGACGTGCGAGGCCTCTGCTCTCTGGGTGGGGACTCGGGACCAGGACTCGTGCCCCGGGGCCCGCCCCCATCCCGGCGATGTGTGCAGGGGTGGCGTGGGCGGCCACTGGTATCCAGAGTAATTGCTTCGCGGTGGGAAAGCGCTCGTTGAAAATGTCACAAAACCGAGGCCGGGAGCCAGGGTTCCCGGGCCCGCCCGGAGCTCCGGGCAGGGTGTCTTCCCCTGGGACCCCGAGGAAGAGAGTGGCTGCCCGGGGCCGGCCGGGACGGAGCACGCACACCCCGAGCTCGTGCGTCCGTCTGACCGGCCCTGAGTCCCCCGTCCTGTGTTCTTTCTCTGACGCCAGGGATCCCCAGGCCCTACTGGTGAGCCGGGACCATCTGGGCCTCCAGGAAAACGGGTAAATAATCCTGCAAACGGCCCCTGCCTGCGAGATTCCCGCATGAGGCCCGCCCCGCTGCTCCCCTCCCCCTGGCCCCTGTGCGCGAGGCAGCTCCCACCGGGAAACTGCTCCTCCAGTCCTCAGACCTCACACCTGCTGTGCCCGCCGCCCCCTGCTTTTGGGAGGGGCCACGTGCTGATGCCGCCCAAGGTGCCCATCGCAGGGGCAAGGCGCCCATGAAGCCGGAAGGGGCCTCGCCCCCTGGGTCAGACCTTTCTCGGCACATGGGATATTCAGCATTCGGGGGGCTGCGGAAGGCTGGCCGCCAGGTTTGAGATGAGGACAGGGCCCCAGCACTGCGGGCTGCCAGAGGCCGTTTCCAGAACTGAGGCCACTGGGACTTGCTCTGAGGGCCATATCCACGTGGGCCAGCGACCCGGGAGCCCCCTCCCCGGCCTCCCCGCCCTCCCCGCCCGTCTCCCTGCAGACACAGAGCTCGAGGCTCGGGCTTCTGTAGGCGGCTCCTCACGTGCTGTTCCCTTGCTCTGTTCCAGGGCCCCCCCGGCCCCGCAGGCCCCGAAGGCAGACAGGGAGAGAAGGGAGCCAAGGTAACGTGCTTCTCTGCGCAGCCGTGACTGTCGAGCCCCCCGGGGGAGCTGCGGGCGTGGTAGCCGAGTTGCTGGGGGGAGAGGTGGAGACGCACGGACGCAGGAAAGCCACGGAGGCAGCAGCGAGCCGGCGCTGGCTCTCCCCGCACACCGGGAGGGAGACGGCGTGTGGTGCCCACGGGGCGTCTGCCCCTCCAGCCTAAGGAAGGGGGAGCGGGTGCTGCGGTACCCGGCCTGGCGCGTGACCCTGAGCAGCACCCGCCGTGGGGCTGGGCAGTAGGCAGAGCACCCAGGGCCCTCGAGGGGCCACTCCCTGTGACTCTGGTGGCCCCGTGCGCCTCCTGGGGCTGCCGTGTCAGTAACTGAGGAAGTGACGGGAGGCCTCCGGGCCCAGGCTGACCCGCCACGCGTGCCGGGCTGGCTGCAACAGCTGTGGTGGCCGAGATTGCTGGAGACTGGGAAACCCGGACGGCTGAGGAAATTAGGCGTCAGCGTGGCTTCTGTCAAGAATTCGGGGCAGCCCCACATATCAGGGGCATCTGGGGTCCTCTGAGCCGAGGTCCTGGGCCAGGGTGACCGCAGCCTCAAGCATCCGTGTCCCCGCAGGGGGAAGCCGGCTTGGAAGGCCCTCCGGGGAAGACTGGCCCCATCGGCCCCCAGGGGGCCCCTGGGAAGCCCGGGCCCGATGGCCTGCGAGGGATCCCTGGCCCTGTGGTGAGTGGATGGGGGGCCGGGGAAGGGCAGCGGCTGAGGGGTGGGTCATGGGCACGGGACGGGCCCCGTGGGGCTCATGCTGAGGGCCTGTTGTGTTTCAGGGTGAGCAAGGTCTCCCAGGCGCCCCGGGCCCCGACGGCCCCCCTGGCCCCATGGTGAGTGACCATCCCGAGGGGCTTCCTGGCAGGGGTGGAGGGTGGCATTGGGGAGGAGAGCTCTGATCCCCCCACCTCCTCCCACAGGGCCCCCCAGGACTCCCCGGCCTCAAAGGAGATTCTGGCCCCAAGGGGGAAAAGGTAAGACAGGACTCAGGTGCCTTTGAGGCTGTGACTCAGGGCCCCTCATCCCTGGGTTCAAACCATCAGTCATGTGTCCGGCGACACAGGTCCCAAGAGCATAACCAACCTGCGGCATACAGGGGGACTCGGTCCCTGTCCCTGGTGGGAGACCCCGGAGGCTGACGAAGGGTCCCGGCTGAGGGGTGTGCAGGGCCCCAGGAGCATGTCCCCCCCACCCCACCCCGGGACTGCACAGCCCAGCAAAGCCGCTCATTTTCTCTAGCTGGGGGGGGGGGGGCGATCTTTTCTGCGCATGCTGATTCATTGACAAGCGTAAAACACACACACAAACCAAATAGTTCCTTCTTTTTATTTTTTTATTTTTTTAATTTTTAATGTTTTTTATTGATTTTTGAGAGAGAGAGAGAGAGACAGTGTGAGCAGGGAGGGTCAGAGAGGGAAACAGAATCAGAAGCAGGCTCCAGGCTCTGAGCTGTCAGCACAGAGCCCGACGCGGGGCTCGAACCCATGAACCGTGAGATCATGACCTGAGCTGAAGTCAGATACTCAACTGACTGAGCCACCCAGGCGCCCCCAAACAGTTCTTTCTAAAGAAGGACTGGGGAGTCTGTTTCTTTTCTTCTCCATGCCTATCACCATTCAACCCCTAAAGTAAGGAACACTGGAAGAACCCTTCTAGAACTTTCCATAAGCTCATAGGAAACGAACACACGTAAGCCTGTGTAAAAAGCCTTCCTTTTAGAAAAACATGAAAGGCTATTGTAGTGTGTGTGATACCCATAACGTCCCCCTTAAGTCCATAAATGTTTCAGTGTCCTGTAATGAACACGGTGGCCGTGGAAACAGTGGACAGTGCACATGAGACCCACACAAACTGCGTCACACAGGAAAACGTGTTACCACCGTGGGCTGGACCGGGCTCTGTGCCTCCCTCTCTTTGGGTGCGATTTGACCAAAGGCCGACCACGCCGTACCTCATTTGCCCCCTGAGCCGCCTTCGGGCTGGTGTCCACCCCGGGCAATGTCGCCCGGTGACTGCGTGGCTTCCAGGGCTGGCATGTGCCACGTCCAGCCGGTCATGTGGTCAGCGGGGAGGCACGGCTGCAGCGAGCGCCGCTTAATGTCTTTGTTTCCCACCAGGGCCACCCGGGCTTGATCGGGCTCATCGGGCCTCCCGGCGAACAGGGGGAGAAGGGTGACCGCGGCCTCCCCGGCCCCCAGGGCTCCTCTGGCCCTAAGGGAGAGCAGGTGCGTGAGGCGGGGCCCCAGCGAGCACCCTCGCGGGTGGGGAGAGCGTCTTACCGCCTGCGCTCGGCGTCCGAGGCCAGTCGGAGCTGCGAGGTTGTCCTCATGTCCACACAGCGGAGCGGAGGGCGGCCTCACGGGGGGCACTGCTTCACCTCCCTCGGGGCCTCTGACCCGGCTAACTGCCCGGGTGCTCGGCGGGCCTGAGCCACGTTTGCCACGTCCTTGGGGCGGGCTTCCCCTCCGAGCCCAGGCCAGCACGGGGAACCACGGTGAATTAGAGTTGGCCCCCCAGCGAGATCCCCCGGTGGTGCCCTTGGGAGCCCCTGCTTCGTCGTCCCCTTGGTGTCCTTCCCGTGGCGTTGACCGCTGTCCCTAAATGGGGGCTGTCCAGGGCGTGGTGATCAGTGACCTGGAGAATTAGGAAGCTGTCCAGGGTTTCCGCCACCAGAGTGAGCCCTCAGAGCACCCTGGTCCCAGCAGCGTCCCAGACGGGAGGTGCTGGCTTGAGAATCTCCGGGAGTCAGACAGCAATGAGGGGCCCCAGCCCCCACATGGCAGAGGTGGAGGGGGGAGGGCGCTTGCCCTCAGCCTCGCTCTGCCCTGGAGGTCGATGAAGCCCCAGGGGGACGTTCATGTGGCATCGGGGCTCCAGGCGAGGTGGGCCCTGGGCGCCCTTCTGCAGCAGGGGTGCAGCGCTAAAACCAGCTGGGCCGGCCTGTGTGGACCGGGGGTCTGACCAGTGGCTGCCGGCTCCAAGTGCAGAGAAACTCGGGGAGGCACAAAGGGATCCCATTAAGCTTGATGTCCCCGCCCGGGGCCTGTGCTGGGGTTGGGGAGACCCACACCGCGAGCGGAAATTAGGGAGGGGGGACCCCAGCCAGGCCAGGGTGTGGGGCTTCTGTATTTCAAATCTGAACAATAGAAGGGGTGCCGCTACGAAGTTGTTTCCCACGGCCCCGAAGATGCCAGAGTCCCGGCCGGGCCCTGGCAGCTGGAGTGGGGGATGGGCAGCCTCCGGGCACATGTTTGGGCCCCAGGCAGGCAGGGGTGGGGGATGGGCAGCCTCCAGGCACATGTTTGGGCCCCAGGCAGGCGGGGGTGGGGGCTGGGCAACCTCTGGGCACATGTTTGGGCCCTGGCAGCTGGGGTGGGGGCCGGGCAGCCTCCCGGCACATGTTTGGGCCCTGTGGGAGAGACGGCTCCTTCCACTCAGGGACATGTGCGTCTGTGACCTTCCCCGGGTGACAGTCTGCGTTTTCTACTCCTTTCCAGGGCATCACTGGTCCTTCCGGTCCAATCGGCCCCCCGGGCCCTCCCGGCCTGCCGGTGTGTATCTGGGACAGGCGGGTGGCCCCCAGTCGTTCTGGGGAGGGCAGGCGAGCCTGGGCCATGGGCCTCAGTGCGTGGCGGGAGGGTCACAGGACTGTCAGAGGACCCGGGGTGGGACCCACTGCCAAGTGCACGTGGGGCCTGGGGTGGATTTGCCTGTATCTCCACGTCAGGGCCACGAGCCACGGAGCGAGGCCGGGTCTCTGGGCCCTGGTTCCAGGGAGGGGGGGCAGGCGTTTCAGGGAGCGTGGGTGTCCTACACAGGCGTCCCCGTCAGCATGAGCAGGACTGCTCAGCCCGGACAGAGGCGGGCGGGGGAGGCTATCCCGGGGGCACCCCCCACATTGCTGGGGTCCCCGGCACGCCAGGGTCCTCCCCCGTGGCCTCCAGCCTCCGCTTGCCCCTGTTGGGTCTGGACCTGGTTCTCATGGCCCAAGGTGGCCCCGTGGGTGGGACACCGGCCCCTGCTCTCCCCCCCAACCCCCCCGGCCGCCTGAATGTGTGGTTTCCTGGCTGGGGTGGGGCAGGGAGAGCACGTCAGACAGGCCCCTCTGCCTCCGAGCGGGTGGACACCAGCCCCGCCCCCGGACGACCCAGTGCAAATTCAGACTCCTAGGAGGGGGATGGGGCGCCGGGGGAGGGGGCAAAGGCCTGAGCAGGCCGTGGGTCTGCAGGTGGGTGCCTGCAGGTGGGGGCTACCCACTCGCTGATGCTCTGTCCCCCGCTCTCTGCAGGGTCCTCCTGGACCAAAAGGTGCTAAGGGCTCCTCGGTAAGTGGTGTGAATGGGCCCCCTCTGCCCAGGGGAAGGGCGTGCGTCCCCCTGGGTGACAGCCATGGGTGCCCTTCCCCCTCAGACTCCTGGTGGCTCGGTCTTCATGCTTCTCCCCCAGTGTTGACGGTCCTGAGTACGTCTGCAGCCTGGGTCGCTGCCGACGGAGGTGTTTGGGCTGTCGCTCCCTGGCTCAGCAGGACGGTGCCCCTGAGCTAACATCTCTGGGCGTCAGACCCTTACAGCTGGGACTGGGGACAGGAGGGTCCCTGCCGTCCTCCCCCGGCACGCACTAGACTTTGTCCCTTGCCATCTCCATGCAGGCAGGGCGCAAGGTGGGGTTAAGTCACATCCTGGTTCTCTTTCCTCTTTCCCAGGGTCCCACTGGCCCGAAGGGTGAGGCTGGCCACCCAGGACCCCCCGGCCCGCCGGTGAGTCGCCCTTGAACACGTGACAGCAGGGCAGGGGCCCTCTTGACACGGAGGCAGTCTTGGGGGCGTCTGTGGGTGCCGTTTGCTGCCAGGACTTTGTGGACGGAGTCCGGGTGCCTCTCTCTGGGAGGCCTGGTTGGGCAGAGAGAGAGTGCGTGTGTGCGTGTGCGTGCACCTGTGCGTGTGTGTGACAGTGGGCGGCACCACATGAAGCCCCCAGGTGACGGGTGGGGGCTGTGATGAGCCAGATTGTGGGGCGTGCCCCACACGTCACCCAGTGTTGGCAGCACAGCCTCTCGATTCCTGGGTCCGTCCTCGGCTGGGGCCCCCACGCGGCCCCCGGGAGGGCTCCGCCGGCACTAGCGTGGCCCCAACGTATGCGGCCTCAGGCCAGGCTGCAGAGGGGAGGGCAGAGCCCGTCACGTTGAGTCCAGCCGAGGCCAGGGCACCCGCTGAGGCCAGGAGGAGAGAGGCGCCTGTGCGGGCGAGGCCTGGCAGCAGGGAGAGGTGCCCCATGCCCCGGAGCAGGAAAGAGAGAGCAAAACCACGCTGAGGCCGATGGGGGTCCACAGGCGGGACGCGGAGCCCCGCCCCACGTGCCGCAGCCCTGCCCCCGCCAGACCCAGCCGGTCCTCTCTGCACCCAGGGTCCCCCCGGCGAGGTCATCCAGCCCCTGCCGATCCAGGCGTCCAGGACCCGGCGGAACATCGACGCCAGCCAGCTGCTGGACGACGGGGCGGGCGAGAGCTACGTGGACTATGCGGACGGCATGGAGGAGATCTTCGGCTCACTCAACTCCCTGAAGCTGGAGATCGAGCAGATGAAGCGGCCCCTGGGCACGCAGCAGAACCCGGCGCGCACCTGCAAGGACCTCCAGCTCTGCCACCCCGACTTCCCGGACGGTAGGGTGGCCGTGGGCCGCGGGGGGGGGCAGCCCGCGCAGCCGCAGCGTCCGCGGCCGGCCGGCCGGCCGTGCACACCCCCTGGGCCTGATGGAGACATCGCGGGATGCGACCGGGGTGTGGGAGGCCGGGGAAGGAGGGCCGGGCTCTGAGGTGGCACGGAGCCCACTCCTGGTGGCGTCTCGGCCGCCGTCTCGTGTGTAAGCTGTTACCCCGAGCCTCGGGTCCCCCGTCCGTGAGACGGAGGGTGTGTCTGAGCCGCGCACAGGGTGCGCCGGGTGCTGGGCACGGCTCCTGATGTCAGGGCTGCCGTGAGGGTCGGCGATAGACGCGCTCCCCGGGTCAGGGTCCGGGCGCCGCGTGGGAAGGCAGCCTGCAAAACCCGGACTCTCGCAGAGTCGCAGCCCTGCGCCCCTGCTCGCCGTCCCAGGCCACACGCAGCCTGCAGCCCCGCCGGGGAGCGCGAGCACTTCCCCAGGCTGGCGGTGGTGCTCGGTCCCCGGCCTCTGTGATCCCCAGTGGGCGAATTCCAAGTCCATCTGGACCTTGTGTCCACCCGCCGCGAGGCCCGGCCGCCCTCTCCCGTTCACCAGAGCAGGGGGGCCCCGGGCGTCGCCCTCCAGCCGCGCCCGAGGTGGGGGTCTGTCGTGCCTCTGTGTGTGCGCGGCACGGACGGCGGGGCCCAGGCGGACAAACCCAGGGGAGGCCCACGCCGGCGGCATGGGGCGCGGCTGTGGGTTCTGACGGCTGAGCCATGGGTGCGGCTGCTTCTGGAACCGGGCAGGGAGCGGCTCACGAGCATCTCCCCACCTGCCGTGCAGGTGAGTACTGGGTGGATCCGAACCAAGGCTGCTCCAGGGACTCCTTCAAGGTTTACTGCAACTTCACGGCCGGAGGTGCCACCTGCGTCTTCCCCGACAAGAAGTCCGAGGGGGTAAGTGCCCGCCTCCCCGTCTACCCACCTGTCACCGCACTGCCCTGCCGGCGGCTCTGGCTGGTGTCATGGGGGAGGATTCTGCCCTGGAAAGCAGAGCAGAGCCCCGGGACGGGGTGGGCGCCGCCTGGTGCCATGGCAGGGCGAAGGGAGGGCCGGAGCCGAGCCGCTTCCCGCTCCCCCACCCCACCCCTCCCCGGGTTGGGATTTCAACCACTGGTTGCTCTACGCCCCTGAAATGACCCGGTGGTTCTGACCCCAGACCAACCTGAAGCCCACGGGGGGACTTTGGGGGTCAGTACAAAGTCACCCAGACACACCTTTTAGAGGCTGGCGTCTGCCTCAGTTCTTAGCGTGCCCTTCCTTCTGGCACCTGCTCCCGTCCGTCCCGAGTGTGGCGCGTTTCTCTGAAGTCAGCCTGTGCAGGGCATTGGGTGGAGGTTATGTGGACAGTCACCTCCGTGCCGGGAGTGTGTGTGCATGCAGAGGCAGGCGTGTGGCTGGCACGCATGTGCGTGTGCGTGTTCACAGGTGTGCAGGGTGGACGCGGGCTGCTTTCCACCTTGGTGCGGACCGGGGAAGGTGGACAAGGTCTCTGACGGTGGCACAGTGCCCTCTGCCTGGGGCCTGCGCAGACCTCCATGGCACCCCTCAGGCGGCCTGCTGTGTAGACGATTTGGGCTCCAAAGCAGGGGAGTCTGGCAGCCTGGGGCCTGCAGCTCCTTACCGGCCACAGCGCCGAGAAGCAGACCCCCTGGGAGAGAGCAGCTGTGTTCTCTAGGGGCGGGATCCCGTGATCTCTAAATCCTGCTGCAGCCGGGGGCCAGCGCCCCTGGACAGAAGGCTGGGCTCACAGGGCCAGGAGCTCCACCCTGACAGGCACGATCTGGGGACCCCTGTTTTGTTTTGTAATTTTTTTTACTGTTTATTTTTGAGAGAAAGAGACAGAGAGACAGAGCTTGAGCAGGGGAGGGTCAGAGAGAAAGGGAGACACAGAATCTGAAACAGGCTCCAGGCTCTGAGCCGTCAGCACAGAGCCCGACACGGGGCTCGAACCCACGAACAGATCATGACCTGAGCTGAAGTCAGGCTTCATTGACCGAGTCCCCCAGGCGCCCCTGTGGGCCCCTATTTTATATGCACTCTCCCCAACCTGAGATTTGAAATCCCTGATAATCCATATGCCCCTCGACAAACGCCCTGAAGTTCAGGAAGAAAACGCAAGCCGCGGGACCCTCCCCTCAGGCAGAGGCCCCGGAGGAAAGTCTGTGGAAAAGACACTGGTTCTCACCCTTTTCGTGGCTGTCTGCCCCTGACAATGGCCTCGCTGCTGGAGAATTAGCGGGTGCCCCCGGGACCCGAGCTGGAGGTGCAGCTGGGTGGACAGCGGGCTGGGGGGCTGCGTGGCCCCTGCTGCTCTGCGCTCTCCTTTGCACTCAGCCTCGTGCAAGTCGGGACCCTGTGCCGTGCCCCCCATCAGGCAGCAGGAGGGCGGGGGTGAAGGCGGGAGCCGCACCCTCTGCACCTGCCGTCCCCTTCCCAGAGGAGGCCACGTGCTTGTTGGGAAAGGCACAGGAGAGGGCAGGGGGCCCCTCCTCCTCCCAGAGGCCCCTCCCCTCCCCGGTACGAGGCCAGCTCAGAGGGGAAGCCCGAGGGACAGGACAGGGAGTCAGGCTTCCGCTCCCCACACTGCGCAGCAGGCCGGGTCCCGAGCGGCAGGCCTGTGGGGCCTGGGGCCTGTGCGCCCGCCCGCCGGGCTCCCTGGTCCTGAGGACTCACGCGCATGCATGCACTCGCCGGCCCACAGCAGCACTGAGCCCGCCCGCTCTGTACGAGCCGTCTTGGGAGCGGTGCCCGGGCCTCACACGCAACACACGCCAGGTGGGGGACCCTCTGCCACTGGGTCAGCAGCACGCTGCGTCTTCGGGGCAGCACCGCCCACCGTGGTGCGCGCACACACACGCGCGCACACAGACACACAGCACACGCATCAAATCCACGCACGGCTCACCCCAGCCGCCCTGGCAGCCCCCCTGCCGACCCCGGCTCCAGGCAGAGCCGCGGATCAGAGGACAGGGTGGCTGAGTGCCCTTCCCTTGGCCCGTCAGCAGGTGCGTCCATCTAGGCCCCCAGGAATGCGTTGTGTCACCCGCCCACCTGCTCCGCGGCACCAACCGGCACCGGGGGCTGGGTGCGCACAAGCGGGCGGGACGCTGGCTGAAGGCCCCTGCTCTCCTCTCGTCCCCATCGTGGCTCCCGGGCCATCCCAGGGCGAGCGGGCCCCCTTGGCCACGTGGGGCGAGGCGCAGGGAGGTGGGAGGAGGGCGTGTGCAGGCGGGGGAGCGCTCCTCGCGGTGGGGGAAGTAACGCTGTCATTCTCTGTTTCTCTCCCTCCCCGCCTCCCCGCTCGATGTTTAGGCCAGGATCACTTCTTGGCCCAAAGAAAACCCGGGTTCCTGGTTCAGTGAATTCAAGCGCGGTAAACTGGTAAGGCCGCCTCTGACTTGCGCGCGGTTGTCCCTCAAATGCGTCCGTTTCGTATCTTACAGAGTAAAATGGCCCGCTGGCCCAAAGAGCAGCCTTCTACCTGGTATAGTCAGTACAAGCGAGGGTCCCTGGTAAGTGGCCGCCGGGGCGCTGCCTGCTCGCGGCACAGCCTGGCTCGTGGCTCTGCATGGCACTAACGGCCGCCGTGTGCCGCACCTGCTCCCACCCCCGTAGCCGAGCTGCTCCACGGCACGTGACAGCCAGCCAGACTCCACCGAGGCGCCCATGCCCGCCTGCCCCGACGAGGGGTCATTCGGCCTGGGAGCAGGTGGTTTTCCTGTCGGTCTAGGGCAGGAGGTTGGTGCTCAGGGCGCCCGGAGCCACAGCCAGCTGGGCGCTGCCAGGTGGGACCCAAGACACCAGGAGCCAGAGGGTTTATACCGCTGACTCCTAGAGGGCAGGTCAGATGGAGGCGCCACCGAGTTCTCTCCAGGACACAGGCCCCTGAGGCCCCTCCCCTGGAGCTGCCGGCTTCTCTGCAGCCCACACGACTAGGCCAGGCCCTGCTTTAACCCCCGGGGGGCCGGTCTCAGGGAGCCGTCCCACAAACGGGAAGACACTGGGATCCTTGGAAGGAAGCCCGTGATGTTCTGTCCCCAGCACGGAGGCTTCCTTTACGCGAGGCCAGCAGGTTTCTCTGACTGTCCCAGGGGTTTGGTCCAGGCCCCTTTCTGGAATATACTGGAGTCCCATACCCTCTTTCTAGCAAGCAAAGGGGCTGAGGGCCCAGGACGTGGACGCGTAGCTGGCGTCCAGCCTGGCGCCTTGCCTTCCCATCCCCAGATCTGGCTGTGCCCCTCCACGCGCGCTTGGAGAGGGTCCTGTCCCTCCCGGAAGCTGTGCCGTGGGAGCTGCGTGACTCCCCACCTGGCCGTCCGCCATCATGCTGGCACCGTGCCCTCACAGGCGGCCGCAGTGGCCACGTCCCCCAGGGACTCACAGGGTGGTGGCTTCCCGCCAGCCTTTGCCCTGTCTCACCCCTCAGGCCTCTCGTTCTTAAACCCTCCGGCACTTCATAGCCAACAGTATTGCACGCTCTCTGCGCCTGGATTTCCAAGCCACTCTTTGCAGACACTCTGAAGGTTCACGCTCGCCTCGCCACATCTGGGGAGACCCCTTTGATCTCCCTGCGCGGACGGCGGGCCTCCCGCCTGCTGCTCCACCTGCTGTTTCCCCTCCCTCCACCCCTGCCGCGCTTGCTGCGCACACAGAAGGACCTGCCTCGGGCCCCCGGGGCGCCTCTGGCGCCCCGCGCCCACGCCCCCCCAGAACACCGTCTTCCCGCCCCCGACCCCAGCAGCCCTCCTCCCACCTCCATCTCACAGACCGTAGACCTAGGTTGGGCCCAGGGAAACCCCAGCTTGTGCTCCGGGTTTTCCCGCCAAGGCTCTTAGAGCTGTCCTAGCGGACGGGGCGTAGATACAGGCCCTTCCTAAACAAATAGCCTCTTTCTCCAGCCCGGGCTGTTCTGGACCCAGCCTGTGGCGGTATCACCGAGGGGCCCCTTTGCCACGGGGAGGTGGGGACTCGCGGCGGGATTCCGGGGCTCTGCGGCCCCACGGCCGCTCAGCTCGGGGGCTTCGGGTCCTTCTGTGTCCCGCGCTGCTGGCTGGCCTGTCTCTGTGCACGCCTGCTTCCCCAGTCAGTCCAGCTTCCTCCCAGAAGGAGCACCTGATGGCCCGACTGCCGGTTGGTATTCAGCCTTCCTCCTCAGGGTCCGACCGCGAGGTGTCCGGTCGCCGCGTGCAAAGCTGGTGGCGGCCGGCCGCCCGGCCCTCGCACTTCCTGGTTACGTATGCGCGGATAGAAGCGAGCGGGCGGCGTGGACCTCGTCCCCCGTCGTGTGTTTAGCCGCCTCTTCTGGGGCGGGCGAGGGAGGGCCCGCAGTGGAATAGCGGTGCGGCGGCAGTGGGGATGGAGCCCCGGCCTCCGACCCCGATGCCCGGCCGGGGACTTCGGGGCGGCGCTCACGTCCCCTGGCCGCGTCCGGCTTCCAGAAAGCTGGAATCTGCCCAGGACGCAGGACCTGAGGCTCGCGTCTCCATACACCCCGGCCCTCCCCGCACCCCGCCGAGCCCAGTAGCCCAATTTGGGGTAACGAGCCGGCGACGCCGGAGAGGGCTCCTGAGAACAGACGTGTTGTCATTCCCTGATGCTGTGCCTGGGGCTTGCTGTCTAAGACAGTCTTTTCAAGAGGGGCACGTCCCCAGAGTGCCCCCGACCACCCCCCTCAGCGTGGGCAACCCTGAGCCCCCCGCCCCGACCACAGGAAGGCCCGCTCTGCTTTCCCCCAGATTCTGCGCCCCGGAAGAGGCACGAATGGCGTTTCTCAAGTGCCAACCTGTGGCTCCCGTCCTCCTGGAGGGCGTCCGGTCGCCCTAGCCCTCAGGCTCTCGGCCACGTGGCTCAGGCCCCTCTTGCTACCGGCCAGGCACCCCACACCTCGCTCCCCACTGGCCCACGTTACCCCGAGACCCCCTGCTCTCTTTATTCTTACAGCTCCCTGGCCAGGGCCTACCTAGTACTTGAGCGGTGCCCAGCAAATGGTCCTCATTTATTATCCTAATCCCATGAGCGCCTTCCTCTGGCCGGTCTCCAGACACAACGACAGGACTAAGTGCCGAGTCCCTGCCCTCAGGGTGCTCACAGTCCGGGGAGGGCTGCAGGCCCCGCACAGGGGCCTATGACATGGGGTCCGGTGCTGGCGCAGAGGCCCTTCCCAGCCCAGAAGGGAAAACAGACAGTGAGCTAGGCTAAGATGGGGAAAGGCACCTAACCTGGGCAGGCTTCCTAGAGGAGGAGGAACATGAACTGAGGCCTGGAGGAGGAGGGACCAGCCAGGCCAGGAGGGATGGGAGGGCTGTGCAGGCACCTGAAAGAAATGAGGTGTGTTTCGCTCTGTTCCAGGGAGCTCCCTGGAGAGCCGGTGCGTTCCGGCCTCCGGGGGTGGGAGCGGGGGCGGGGCACGTTTCCAGGGCAGTGGCCTTGGCGTGGCTGGAGGAGACGGCACCTGGACAGAGCTCGTGAAGGCTGGGCCGGGTCCCCTCACTGCTGAGCGCCCCCTCCCTTCCCCCCACCCCAGCTCTCCTACGTGGACGCCGAGGGCAACCCCGTGGGTGTGGTGCAGATGACCTTCCTGCGCCTGCTCAGTGCCTCCGCCAACCAGAACATCACCTATAACTGCTACCAGTCGGTCGCCTGGGAGGATGCCGCCACGGGCAGCTACGACAAGGCCCTGCGCTTCCTGGGCTCCAACGACGAGGAAATGTCGTACGACAACAGCCCCTACATCCGTGCCCTGGTGGACGGCTGTGCCGTGAGTGTCCCGCACGGCGGCCCTGGGGAGGGGGAGGGGGTCACATCCAGGCCTCCGGCGCCCATCCTCAGTGGCCACGAAGTCAGTCACCGGGTGCTCCCGGGCCGGCCTGTGGGGCGAGCAGGGCGCGGCGAGGGTGCCTGACCCGGAAAGCTGAGGCCAGGGCGCCAGGTCCGTGGTCCTGTCCACGTGTGACCAGGAGCTTGGAGTTAGAGACTCTCCTCGGCCAGGGTTGTCCTGGGAACGGCCAGGACGCGCACTGGGCATGCTCGCGAGCTCTGGGTGGCGCTCTGCGAGGCAGGGTCCGGCCTGGGCCCTGTGCCACCCACTGGAAAGGGCCGCTCTGCCCGCAGGCCTACGGGGGCTTGCTCGGGCCATACGGCACGTCAGGGCTGGAGTTGCGCTCACTCTTTGGGCCCCGGAATCATTGCCTTCTCGGCACCCCCACCCATGGCCCCCCTACCCAGAGCGAGCCTGGGTGCCCAGCCGAGGGTCATCCCCAGGCAGCCCGCAGGTCTGAGCCATGGCCTCGTGTCCTGGGGGATGTTTAAGGTGCAGCCGTGCCCTGGGGATGGGGGGGTCCGGGCCTGTTGAAACCCTTGGGCTTGTCCCTCTGTGGCCTTGCCTCTTACTGTCCCCCCTCCCAGCCCCTGGTCTTCAGGGACCTGCCCAGGCCAGCTCCCACGGGGCCAGGTGGCTTGGGCTGCACTCCCCCCGCCCGCCCCACGTCCAGGGCCAGCCCTTCCCAGGGCCTCCCTCCAGGCCGGCGCGTGATGCCCTTCTCTGGAAGGTGCTGTGTGGGTCACCCACGGCCATCCCTGGGGCCAGCTCCCGACAGGGCCCTTCTGGAAGGTTTACAGGTGGAGCGAACCATCTGTGATTTCTAGCTCTTCCAGCCAGCGCCCCCCCCCCCCCCCCCCCCCCCCCCCCCCCCCCC